AATTCAGAATCACAATAAAACATTTAAAATAGATTTATCGTAAATTGCAAAATGTGACGCTTATCGTCACTTAATTCAGAATCACAATAAAACATTTAAAATAGATTTATCGTAAATTGCAAAACGTGACGCTTATCGTCACCTAATTCAGAATCACAATAAAACATTTAAAATATATTTATCATAAATTGCAAAACGTGACGCTTATCGTCACTTAATTCAGAATCACAATAAAACATTTAAAATAGATTTATCGTAAATTGCAAAACGTGACGCTTATCGTCACTCAATTCAAAATCACAATAAAACATTTAAAATAGATTTATCGTAAATTGCAAAACGTGACGCTTATCGTCACTTAATTCAGAATCACAATAAAACATTTAAAATAGATTTATCGTAAATTGCAAAATAATTGATTAGATCTAAAATACTGTGTACATTAGTACATAGAACCTTAGCAAATACAAATAAACACTCTTGATTAAAGTTAAGAAATACGTGTCGAAAAGGGTTAATCACAAGTCTATGGTCCAAGTTTGATCTCTTATGTGATATTTCCAGAATTTAGCAATAGTTTTTATAGAACTAATAGGGTAAGTTCTCGCCGTGCCAATTAGTTTGTTTTAAATCAAAGTATATTAAATTAATTTAATTTGTTATTTTAATTTGTTATTGATTAAATTATTATTAATCTGAGTATTTTAAATAGTTAAAGTACGTAAATTAATTCGACAATATATGCATAAAATAAACGATCACTGGTTAAAAATGATTAGTAGTAGTTTGTGTCTTTAAACCACCGTAAGAATAGCGAGATATACAAATTTATACATCATTTTAAAGAATGCAATTTTATATGGCAAAGTACAAAATTTGAACGAAATCGATTAAATAGCTCCTGAAAAAAAATCGAATTTTGAAATGCCACTTTTTTAAAATTATATAACTCGAGATTCTGCATGAATGATTTTAACTCTATTTCAGGCTTAAAATAGGGAGCTTTTTGCAAAAATGCAGTGTGTTGCATGAGCAAGTGCAGGGATACTTTTCAACGAATCCAACTCAGTGCATGCTCATGCAAACCAGCAGATATTAGGGGGACCGGAAAGTAATGCAGTTTCGGAGCATTTGATCTTTTTTTACCGAGATTTAATTTTTCATCAATAATGTATTCACCCTAGTTAGCAACAACCGGATCGAAAATGAATCGAAATGGATCGAAAAATATGAATTGGTTTTCAAGACTAACGAATATTTAATGAGCCGAAACGACTTCCTTTCCTTTCTTTCTTTTCTCCCTAATAGTTTACCCAAAATAAAGTACGATTGACGTTTTCTTTTGATACGGAAAATGACAGAAAAAAATGGACTGTGTTTTAATGACACCGCAGAGAAAACGACGTGTTTTGCATAATTAATGAAGACAGTCGTCATAAGAAAGTAAAAAAAAAACTCATTCTGGATTTTTTTTAAAAAAAAGAAACTAAGCACTTTTTTACTAACACTGATTGAAAAATAAACGCCCTTATTAGCTTTTAAAAAACGTAAACTAAAAATAAACCCTTTTAATCACTTCTTAAAAACCCTACGCGTCCTGTAATTAATCGACCAACGACCTTTTTGCATATTAATTTTTTTCTGATGTTACGTAACAGTTTTTCCTTTAACCTATGTTACTAATCTCATTTAATATCTAACGCCGTAGAAATTCACTAATTAAAATTTTAAAGCTTTTTATTTTTTATATATAGGTATTTAGCATCAGATCTTAGTAAATTCGTTAACCTCTTTAATTAGGAAGCACTGTCCCTTTATCAAAAGTTTCAAACCAGTACTCAAAACAAATTCAAAAGATTCTCATTGTTGTTCCTTTGTCGTTGGTGAGTCATTCGTGCTGACTTGTATTTCGGGAAATCATTCTTCATTCATATAACCATTACATATTCATTCACCTTATCATTCCAATCCA